AAATAATTGTTTTATAATAAAATTAAACAACAGAACTTGTTTCAGATGTTTTATGAATACTTTATGATGTCACCACTCCAATTTTATCAGAAGTGGGAGACAAGACATTGCTACCCACTCTCCTGCATTTTAAAAGGTCCTCTTCTTGGAAAATTATACATTTCTATTTATTGTTTAGTTTTATTTAGTAGCAATGCTGTTTGTTTCATTAACATGTTTCTGGAGATAGACAAACATGTTCTCTCACCATCCAACTATCCTGCCTCTTTTAAAACCACAGTCTGCTTTAACTTGATGCCTTTTCCCATTTCTAAAATGACAACTTAGAGAATACTTGTGTGTCCACTTCTTGCTTTAATATCAAACTTTTGTTTGCATGTTTCTAAACCTTTTAAACACAAACTTGACACAGATACCAAAGTAATATACTTCAAGGGAAATGCTTATGACAAATTATAAAGTTTCGTTGAAATTTTAATGAAGCATTTATATAAGCTTTTTGTGAAAATGACACTAATACAGACAGTGTGATTGTTAATTGTGGCGTTTCCACAACTCCTTTCTGAAAGTTCACAAGCAAGTTATTCCCCAAAATATGATATTTGCATTTTTTTTAGTAAAGTACCATACAAATTAAGTAGAAATATTATAGGAAAGGAATTGATTCCAATATGAGCCAATACACAATTAATGCAAACTTGCTCTGATTTGAAGCTTTTATTCTTAGTTTAGAAAATGACAAGTCTATTAATTGATGAACTATGTAATCAGTCGACCCAATCCTTTTAGGTTCGTTGAGAAGTATAAATGATTTAAAGATATGCATCTAAGCAGTTTTTTGTAAGACATTTTGCTCCTTTTACTCAACATTTCATAAAAATCAAGCTTAACAGTTCAACTACATAATGGTAAAAATTAAACAAAATTTGTTAAGGAAACTATTTTTGGATTACATATTTACACTTTTTGTTTTTTCAATTAAAAATTATAGCCTTGTCTTTAACTACTAAAAAAAATATCAAATCTTACCTCTTTTTCTTCTTTTTCTTCTTTTTCCTCATCTTTCTTATCATCGTCATCCTCCTCTTCTTCTTCCTCCTCCTCTTCTTCTTCACTTTCAAGTTCGACAAGTTTCTCTTCCTCTACTTCATTCTTGACATCATTAGTATTTTCTTCTTTCTGTAGTTCCTCTTCTTTTTCTTCCACATCAGATTCCTTGCTCTTTTCTTCCTGTTCGCTACTTTCTGGAATAATTTCTGTCTCTTTTACTTCTTCAATTCTAATTGGAGTTGTTTCTCTGACTTCCTTCTTGACTTCACTGGCCGGAATGTCATCCGGTGTGGGTTCATCAGTTTTCTTTCGCTTAGCCCGGATTGCTTCTTCCTTCTTTTCCTGTTTTACGCAATGCATAAAATTATAATTGTGCCACAAATAAATTTGACAAATTTACTACTGTACAATAAAAAAGTTAAAAAATAAAATAAAAAAAAAGGCAGTTTTGGGATTACCTGACTAGTGGATGACGTACAGCAGAAACTAATGAAGAGAACTATTGGCAAGCCTATAACTATCACATAGACTGCCCACAACCAGGGATGTTTGTTGGTATATTTGACTAATCTTAAAAACACACCATCCTATATGGGAGAGAGAAAGAAAATAGGAAGGATAAGGGTATTGGAAACAATTTTTAAGGGATAAAATTAGGTTGGTACACAGATTCACTAATAGCAATAGCCAGATTTTCTAAATAAGATTTTCATGGTTTGGTGGAATACACAGAAGCCCACAAAATTTAAAAACTGCTACCTCTTTGACTCTCTTATGAAGATGCCAGCCATAAATTATAAATGGAACCGTTAAATACATAATATATAATAGCCATGCATTTGGACGATTGTTCGTCTTCTTCATAATCCATCCCCAGAATGTTTGCTAAAAATATTCCTATTGTTTATTAGTTGTTTAATAACAATCTGGTAATCTCGTATACATACTATGTATAACACCGTGTAATAAATTAAGATTTGGGAACATTTAAGTTATAACTTTTTTGTATATTATAAATATGTAAATATGACATGAGCTGAAATAATTAAGTAAGCGCAACTCACTCATTTATTTTTAAATTGATATAAAGTATGTTGCAAAGATTTGGGCAATAATAATTATTAATATAATAAAATGCAATTAAAGCTGTAAAGAAAGGTAATTTATAAAAATTGATTAAGGTTAGTAATAAATATTTTTATGAATATTAATAAATTACAAATACAATGTGCAGTTATCATGAAGCATGACAACAGAACCTGCAAAATATTTAGAACATAAATGTTTAATTAAAAATTACAAATTTCAAGCATTTCAGATATTAATATTAGTTAAACAACTAAAGTTGCTATTTACATATAAATTTTCAAAACTATCTCACAAAATTATATATATATATTTTCATTTATATTCAGTAGATGGGTAATTGTGAAAATCTGACTCTCTAATTAATTAGAATTCTCTCTTAGAGAATTCTTATAGAATTCTTCTTTCATCATTATTTCTGTTATTTCTCCCATTCTCACCCCGTTACCCGAGGAATAGACCCCGGATAATGAACTGCATAATTCGTCCGTCAAGAAGGTCATCCCTGGGACGACGTCGTCCGAGGCGACCGCGGAAGAACTCCCCTCTCCCCGGGGCGTTTGTTTGTTTTTGCTAATTGGTCACACCGCAGACACCTTGTAAAAGAGTAGTCTCCTGCGGGTGTCCGGTTGACGGAGACGGACGGGTGTTCCTGTATTGAGAGTAGACAAGAGGTCACCTACAAGGGTCACCCGTACGGTGAGAACATTACCAAAAATGGTCAGTCATCTCCCCAGGTGATGACGAATTTAACATTAATTGGTCAAGCGATGTCTGCATTGTCGTCACCCATGACGGGGGAGACTGTCATAAATCGGGAGAAGTGACAGATTGCGTCAGAGGAGTCCCCGAGATTTCCCACGCTAAAAAAGTATAAAAGGGGAATGATCGGAGGTCTCGAGGCGATCATTGGAGGAAGAAGACTACAAGCGTCTACTCTGGAAGGACTTCAAGGTTTCTGATCGCCGACCTAAAGAGGTAAATACTTAGATTGTTTTTACTTCACTCTCTCTCGGTATACTCGGGACTTAGAAATTATTGTCTCTCGACTTACTCGGGACTTAGAGATTATTTACTCTGTATCATTTGATAGGACTTAGTCATATTTTGTGTCAAGAACCTTCGACGGTCCCACTTACGGGATAGACAGAATATGTGCTAACCGAGGGGGCTGAAGTGGAGAGCTTCTCCCCACTTACTGGCTTGGCTGTCAGGAAATGGCTATAGGAGGGCAAAAGGAGTGGGAGGCGTAATGAAGTCGTGATGAGATGTCGATAGTACTTATCAAGAGTCATTAAATTAGGAATAACATATTTAATATAAACATAAAAATAATACAAATGCATTGAAATTACACATTAATTCTAAACAAAATGTAAGCAATAATTATAATAATTTCCGAGTCGCGACATAATTAATCTGAAACAGTGTTGAAAATAAACATGTAATTGGTATAGGTTATGTTCTTTCTTTCATAGTATTTTATTTCATCATTGAGAGAATATATTGGAAGCATTGGATTAATGATTAAAAAATGATTGTTGAAACTAAGTAAAGTAATACTTTAAAAAAAAAAGAGTCAAGTACTTTGTATTACTGTAAAAAAGATCCTCATCAATTGTGAACAGCCAAATTAATAAATCTACGCTTCTGCAGTTTAGAAATGAAAAGCTTACCTACATAGTCATACCAAGAAACATACATACATATTTAAATTTTTTTTTTCAAGAATAAGTTGCAACTTTCAAAAAGTATTGTGTAATCTGTCTCTATGTAAAAAAATGTCATCATTTAGTTACAGGTATCTCTCGTATAACATGATAGTTACATTCCAAAAAAGTGCCATGTTAGGTGAATCCATGCTATATGAAACAAAGGTCTAATGCAAAACACAGGATTAGCTTCCAAAAGTTAAAGAATAGTATACTATTCTTTTTCATTACTAAGAGAAGTATGTTTATTAAAGCAATCAATAATTAATTAACAACCACAATTAAAAGTACTGTATTATGCATTAATATTAATTTTAGTTAAATGGGGTGTAATTTTTACAAAATATCATTATCGTCTGAGCATTTTTGTTCATCTTGATCAGAAATATCAGCAACGTCTCCATTTTTTTTATTTTCACCATAAAATTTTTTTTATGTATGATTAAATAAAAATATGTTATTAATCGAAATTTGTCTATTTGTTTGGTCACATTTGTTAAATCAAGGACAGTGATTTTTTTCCAGAATTTGTTTGAGTACCAAATTACCTCATTTTGTTTGTCAATTTTACGAATGATCACTTACCTACAGTTTAAACATTTTTAACTAAATGTTTTTAATAAACTTTACTAAATATGAAGATTAATGTTAAAAACAAAACACAGCAGCAGTCTTAAGGGCTAAAATCTGAAAGCAATGACAACACTTAGTTGATAGGAAAGCTAGGACAAGAAAAAAAAATTGCACTATTAGTTTTCATTAAGTCTGATGAAAGGCACAAAAATTGGAAATTTCAATATTCTAAAATCTGTGGGAAATGTGAGAGTGCACACATCCTTACTTGGATAAAAAAAGATATCAAACAGCAGTTTGCACTTAAAAGTTGTGAAATTTTGTACAGGGATTTCCCCAATTTTCAAACCATGTTGTACGAGGGATACCTGCATATTAAAAACTGTATGGATTTTTTATCGTTTGATGTTGAATTCTTAAAAACTTTTTATAGTCAATTTTAATCAATTACCTATATACAGATAATATGATCCTGTTATCTGATTTTTCAGAGAAATTTATCTTATAAAATGTACCAAAAGAAAAAAATTGAATTTGTTTTGCTTGTAAATGACACTATCCTATTTTGACATGTCATGTATGAGAATTTAATAGATAAGAAAAATCAAAAGTTTATAATAATAATAATAGTGTTAATAATGTATTTAGGCATTAATTTAAGATGCCTGAAAAGACTTACACCATATGATATAGACAGATACAGGAAGCTCTGGTCAGCTTAGTTTGAAACTGTGGTTTTGAAATAATGTGACTTCTAACCAAAAAATAAATCAATGAAATAATTAAAAAATTTTGCAGTGGCAGGGGGATGACACTGCATTGTTGCAGCAGATGAAACCCCATGCTGCCAATATGACCCACAGATCAAATGACAAAGTTCTGGGTGGAAAGGCCTTGGGATTGCCACAATTGAAGAAAACCCTGGCAGTGGAAGACAAATATCATTTTTATTGAATTTTCTAATGTGAGGAGTATTGTGCATAAAGAATTTATTTCCTATGACCAGACTGGTAATGACACATCTACATCAACATTCTACAGAAATTACTGCAGAACGTCTGCCATCGCCACTCTGCACTTTACCGGTCCTGCCTTCTTCACAATGGCGTTTCCTCACCCGTACTCACCTGTCTCCTATCCCCAACCAAAGTGTGGTCCACAAAATGTACCTTCTGTGGACTTGCAACAGACTGCATATCCACACCTAATTCCATTATGGAAGAAGAGTTCCAAAGCTTTCTGGAGATCTTCAACATCACTGGAACCACAACCCAGTTATGTTTCATTTGTCACTCCTAAGAAAAAAGCTCAGTCCAGGAATTCATTTGCAAATAAATATCAAATAATATTATTATTCTTTTTATCTGTTATTATTGATGGCATATGATCAAACTAGGCATTTCATAAACATTGATTCAGTCATCAAATGTATTTTTGAGCTTTAAATAAGAATTGGGAAACAACTGAATTTCTTTGTAGATCATCATCAATGAGCCAGTATTCAATTCTCAACTTTAAAAAGAGAAACTGGTAGAGAAAAAAAACTTCTTTTTATTAGTTTTAAAATTTACTTCTATCTGAGCTGAAACTAATTTAGCTTGAAGAACACCTTAAGCATTAATATTTTTTCCAGCAACACAAAAAAAAAAAAAATTAAAATTTGAACACAGTAAGAACATTAATTAGAAATTTCAGTTCAAATCTTCTAGTTTATAAATTAAACCTAATACAGACCTGTAAAATAGGTAAAAAAATGTTTGTTTAATTAAACAAAATATAGTGTTACTGGAAAAAGTATTAAGGTGTTCAAACTGTTTGTAATTTTTTGCTATATTGTTGGAAGTACTAATGTAAAATTACTTTATTATTATATAATGTACATTCAATAACGTCGTTATCCTTTCCCCAATTCCCTAATTTTTGAAACTGGTTTCACCAACCACACCATTTTTTAAAACACAACCCTCTCCATGGTTGGCAAGGGATGCTCTATTTTAATGTTAAAAAATTTTATCATTCCATCAAATTTTAAATATAAATAAAATTGCATTTAACTCACCGTCTCTCTGTCTACCAGTTCTTTCTTCAAAACCCAGGTTTCTGCCGCCCACTGTTCCGACACAAACATATCATCTGTGATTATGATGTTATCAAATAGAATGTTGTCTGTCATTGACCACAATTCAAAACCGACTGCTCCCTGTAAATTAAGCAATTTTTAAAATTTTTATTAAATCATAATTTCCTTTTGAAACAACAACATAGAATAATTTTGCAAATTGGAAATAGTTTTAAATACATTCAATTATAAAATGAATAAGTTGGACAGGACCAATATTTCTAAAACACAATGAGCTTAATTGGATTCTGACAGAAATCTGAAACATATTCCTATTACTGTAAACACACACACAGTGAAGCCAACTGAGATAACTCAAATTAATATTTCCAATATATTATCATTAAGTTTTATATTACAACATATTATTATATAAGAAATATTAATAGCATCAGTAGAATTTGATAAGATTTACTATAATGAAGACATTTAACAGTGGTATTTCAAACACAATTCAAAATTTATTTGATTTCATTCTTGTAACAATTTATTCAATGTTTCAGTAAACTATTCATTATATATTTCATTTGTTTTGAAAATGATTTAAATATTCTTCCTTAAAATTAGTTATAACTTAACATTTATATATTTTTTTATCTTTCAGATTTGATCAAGTATTTTCAAATGATGAAAATTTTGATAGTTTTTATTTCATTTCAAGATATTTTTTTTGACAGTTGCCGAAATCAAAACCAGGATCAGGTGTTTTGAAAGGTATTTAGCTGACTAAATGCAATTAAATTTCATATGGTGACATTTCAGAACATGCAGAATATATTTCCATAAAAAGAAATTAGTATACCAAAACTCACCACCAGGGTACTTTTGGCACTGCAAGCAACAAACATTAATGCAAAATACTCATGCTATACAAAGACCTTAGTGATGTATGGGATACTACTCAGTGGTCTCCCTCTTATAGGTGTAAAACTTGATGGTGGTGAGCTGTGTTCTGTGGCCAACTGCAACTAATCCTCTGTAATGCTTCTCATGTAATGTGAGACTCTTTCAAGGGTATCAAATTTATGATAAGTCCTCAATAAACCACACTTTTTAAGTGACCCTACAACCATAAAATTACAAAATTACAATCAGTATAAAAGTACCATAGTGATGAGTTTGATATACTCATTTTTTTTAATGAAACGTCTGTTGCCCTGAAATGTCACTGTAACAAATTTGGTTGTCTCTTTTCAACTTTCTTAAATCTCTATACAACATTGAATAGAGGTACTTTAATTATAATCATCCTATATTTTATTTGGGCAAGAAAACATTTCTGTAAAATATGAATTAATTAGGAAAGAGGTCTGAGCTTCATTCGTTAGTAAAGATGATTCATAATACCAATTACTTGTTACTTTGGTATTCATTATACAGCATTGCAACGAGTCAGCAAGACACTGCTGCATTAAACAAAACCTGATGAATGCTCTTCCTCATCCTAATGATGTTTTAAGTTCAGAAATTGATTTAACAAATTTTAATCCATCATGAATGTCTGTTCGTTTCGTCGTAAGACAACGGCAGATGTAATCCCAATAATTTTTTTTTTCCGCGTACCAAGTAAACTGGTGTGCTTTCTATTAATTCTTTCTCTTTTTTTACTTGCAAGTAACCTTGATTCTTCTTCTCTTTTTTCTGCACATTTTAACTGTTGCCGTAATTCTTCCATATTTTTCTCTAAATGGGCGAGTTCAGCTTTCAAATCTTTCACTTCATTAATATTTTGAATCTCATTTGTAAATTGCTGTGTTAAAGTGGGTTCATTTTGTGACGTACAGCTGACCAAACTAGAGACGCTCATGCTTCTGCTAGGTGGTTGCCAAGAATAAGTTGTACTAAATAGCTTTCTAGCAAACGTCGGCCAAGACACGTCGAGATCGTGTCCTCTTGGCGAAAGATCAAACTGTATGTCATTTAATTCATATAATGTGGAAATGAGGAAAGAGGTCTGAGCTTCATTCATTAGTAAAGATGATTCATGATACCAATTACTTGTTACTTTGGTATTCATTATACAGCATTGCAACGAGTCAGCAAGACACTGCTGCATTAAACAAAACCTGATGAATGCTCTTCCTCGTCCTAATGATGTTTTAAGTTCAGAAATTGATTTAACAAATTTTAATCCATCATGAATCCATCAGGTTTTGTTTAATGCAGCAGTGTCTTGCTGACTCGTTGCAATGCTGTATAATGAATACCAAAGTAACAAGTAATTGGTATCATGAATCATCTTTACTAATGAATCTTTACTTATTTTGAATAAATACAAAAGTAATACTTAAAAGTAATAAAGATAATATACATTGGTACATTATCTCATTTTATGTATATCGTATGCATATAAAAAGAAATACTCACCACAGGTGTCATTCTATAAGGATGTTTATCTTCAAAGAATTCTGGATTTTCAATCCTCCTTGGTTTCCATTTACCCTAAAATTAAATGGTCATGTCAACTGACAATAATCAAAATCAAATATTTTCTTTAAAAATGTAACATACCTTGTAATTTGGATTATCAATAAGGGGTGCTCTCCATTTTCCCTTGTAATTTGGATTATCTATCATGGGTGGTTTCCACTCTCCACATCCAGCCTGCTCACAGTTTGGATTACCTATTAATATTGATATTAACATTAGCCATATAGTAGAAAATGAAGGAATAATTCCACTTCAACTTGTTTCATTTAATTGAAACACCAAAATATACTTTAAGTAAAAGCAACGAGAATAATATTTAAGTGAATGGCTTTTTAAAACAATCATTACAATTTGTCATTAATTAATACAGCAAACTGTAATGATCTTAAATACTTATGCTGTTCTTGTGTTAATATTTAACATACTATAAAAATATTTTATTGTGTGCAAATTATTTGCTAGTAGTCATATAGTGAGCAATTAGAAAAAAATTAATCTAAAATATTTTCCATTAAATTTAATCAAATTTTAAAGATATAATGACTACATTAGAGTCACGGCCACAATTATAACTTACAATATAATAAAGTTTGTGAAATAAACACTGAAATTACCAGTATTTTTAATACTATATTGTAATAAAACTAGACTAGAGTACATGTAGGGTTGTATTTGAAAATAAATGATAATACTGATCATTTCTTTGTCTCTAGAAATGACCTTGTACTCCATAGTTTGAGAATTGGCTTAAGTTATCATAATTACAGGATGTCTCACATAAAATCAGTCCCAAATCACTTGAGTATATTATTGTAATCTTCATATTGAAAAAAACAGGACAAATGAGACCAAAGATTTTTACTTAATTTTATTTTAAAGTTTATTTATAGTTTTATTAACAAAAATTATGGAAATTTGCATGCCCAATACTTCATCATTTAACATCGGAAGTTCTGTAAAGGTTAAGCCTGTAAAATTTCAGTTATTGTTATCATCTTCAAGTACATAGACATTTTTAATTCATCTTTTAGTAATATCAGCATCAACATAAGGCTTATAATATACAATCATATTATCAGTCGTAACTAGTGCTTTAATCAAATATTTATCATTTTAATTGTTATTGATTAGCAGTATATCAGTTTAAATTGCTAGCATTTCTTACTTCAATTATACTCCAGATAAATTATTAATTAATAGTAAACTGTTCTGGTTTCTTTATGTTCTAAATAGTTATAATCATCTAAAAAACTAAACTAGATAAAATAAAATTAGCTCTGAATATTGTTATCTGTATAATACAGTGAATGATCAGTTCAGACTGAACAAAACAGATAACGAACACTTTTGCGAAAGATTTTTATGTTCAGACAACAAACACATTTGGAAAACAAACAGCTCACAGAACAAACACAACAAGAAGCAACGTAAAATAATGAATACTAATTGGTCTTCCCTTGCCTCCAGGTGACAATTCAAAACCTTTTGGAGTGCAGGAGACGTTGACATTGATGCTCAATCTGATACCGATCAGATAGTATTCCCCTGAACTTTGAAAATCTCCACTGTAATTCCAGACTTTTGTTTACCTTTCTGACAAAGAATTTTTAGTCTTTGCAGGACTGTCGGGCACTTGTTCAGTTTTGCATCAATTTTTATTTTTGAAAGGTGAGAGTATAATAGCCAAGCAGAGAATGGGCAGAAGATGTCTGATGATGTTAGGCAGTATGGCTTGAACAAGTCTACAGTAGGCACAATCTTAGCTAAGAAAGATATCATCAAGAAGCTCAAGTATCTAAAGGAATAACAAAAATCATATGAGAAACAAAGATGTGCCATCCATAAAAAAATGGATAGATTGCTTTTAATTTAGATAATAGAAAAGGAAATGAAAAGAGATGTAACTAGTATGACTATCATTCAAGAGAAAGGTAGAGAAATTTTTGGATAATTGAAGAAACAAACTCCAAACTCCACATTCGTCACATGAGTTCAAGGTGTTCTGAAGCATGCCAGTTGTCCTCAATGATGACATTAAAAATGTTTTGGAAACAAAAATTTGATATTCTTGATGCTATCCAGCTCATTCAAAAGGCAAGGTAAGAAGTCATTCAATGACAGTTGAATTCTGATTGGCAAAAGCTGTGTCCCTCCTGCATTCAGGGAGATAGAAATGATGTACCTGAAAATATGGATAAAATTGTGACAACTGTTACAGATCTCGAATTGGAAGTGAATGAAGATGACATCGAAGAGCTCATCATGAAACTTGAAACTGATCTGATGACAAAAGAACTCTTGAATGAAGAACCAAGAATCTCAGCAAGTTATGTTTTCTTATGAAAAAGAGGAAGACAAGAGGACCAATGCCAACATCTGCTATTAAAGGTCTTTTGAAGAAGTGGGAAAATGTCAGAATACTGGTCTTAGAATGGCATTCAAACCAGGTTCAGGATAATAGGCTTGAGGATCTCTACAACAACAATGCTATTAATTACTTCCGAAAAATCCTGAAGAAAAGCAACCGATGTTGGACAGAACCGATTCTTTAACTCTCCACAAATGGGGAAAAATCATGACCAACAAAAATGCAAGACTGCATATGTATATGTGACACATACATACACAGTAATAATAATTATTACTACAAATAAATAAACATAGTAAGAAAGTATATAATTTTTTATTTATTTTTTGGGGTCTCCAGAATGAATTAATCAAATTCTCATAAAAATTTATGTTAAATCAATAATCAGATAACAAACAATTCGGGTAGCAAACATGGTCTTGGAACGGATTATGTTTGTTAACTGATCACCCACTGTATTTAAAATACATATCATTTAACCAACATGTTATGAAGCAACGTTGGATTGCAAGAAACTTTGTTTGCATAAGATTCTGGATTTTAAATATATGCAATTAATTCTACTTTTGTGATACAGTAAGCATCAATAACAATTTTGAAACAAATGAAAATTATAAAAGGCAATGCAATTTTTATATTTCCTTCCTTTTGGAAATCATACCAGTATTTGATTAAAAATAGATTTCTCTTAATGTTTATGGTTATCAAAATATCACAGAATTATCAATGGAAAGTTTATTAAATATAACAATGACAATAATGTATTTAATCATCAAGTAAAAAACAAAAAATTACGATACTTATTGTATTGTCTAATATTTCAATATATTTATATTTTGAAAAATTAAAGAATTAGAAAATTAAAACTCATTAAGAGAGTTCAAAAACAAAAAATATTTACTTATCAATGGTGGTTCCCATTCACCATCCATTTCATCATCCCTAGATTCAAAATAATAATAAAATATATATAAATTTATTTTTTCATATTATTAATTACTATAATATTAGTACAGACCAGTCTTTTGGCTTCTCAGCATTTGGATCAGGAATAAGCTCCACTTCGTCATCCAACCAACCTTCTGGTTTACGAGCATTTGGATCAGGGATTTGTCTTGGAGCATCTTCATCCCTAAAATATTAATTTCAGAAAGTTTACAAGTTTTGATTTTATATGATATAAATGCAACATATACAATTAGTAATAACTATTATTTAATGTATAATTTTGAAACAATCTGAATGTTTGTATTATCACCATCATATTATATAAACTGACTAAGTTTGCAATCAGATATTTTCCATTACAAAATGTTCAGTATAACTTTATGATATCACAATTAACTATAATGTCTCATGTTACAATTTTAATTGGTAAAACAAGTTTAATCAATCATCTTTAAAAAAAATTCATTATATATAATTGCTACCAAAATGTTCTATTATTTCATTAACAATAACAAAAATAAAATATGTTTACATTCAACTAGGGGGTGCTTCACTCACTTGTTTAGTTCATACGTTTATTAGTTGTGACTGTTTCTTTTTGAATATTCTATCTATTAAATGTTTATAATGTTTTTAAACAAAAAATTTAAAATTTATTATTGGCAAATTGGCAGATTTATGAACAATAATAGAATTTATAGATAAGTGGAGCCAATACCCCGATTTGCACAATTCAGTTCCAAGTGCCCAATGGGCTTTGTCCCCTTATTTCAAATATTCATGAAAATTTTCTCATTCCTGGTGCTGCCATTTTTTTGTGACAGAAAAAAGTGTCATGACAATTATTTTTATATATGTATAATAGATTTCCCTAGTACTACTCTCTGGTATTCCTGACATATCTTGGGTCGCAACCTAACGACCTTGACCTGTGGATCCAAGATATCTCATTTCAGCATTAGAATGTTTTTGAAACTAGTTGTTGTTAGTTGTTACAATTTTTATATTGAAACTAACTTCCGAAATATATATATATTTTTGTTTTTACATTTATTAATATATCTATTTTGTTTGTGTAAAATAAAAAAATAATTTCAATATGATCATTTTTTTTCAAAAATGTGTAATTTTCGTTAGACTTAACATGAACAAAAATTCAACGCGGTGCAACACACAATGGAGAAAAATTCCAACACAGGATAGGTTAAGACTTTAGGGCCTTTTGCAAAAGTTTCTCTTTAAACTACAGAATAACTATTCGTAAAAACTAGTCATTTTCACAAGTTTCTTTGACATTGCAGAAAGCTATCAGCCAGTTAGCTGAAAAATTATCCATGCAGCAATAATGTTATCAAAAACAATATGGGATAAACAAGTGAACAAAAATATAAAATGAACTGGAATGTAGACAAAATATATATTGGTAGATTTAATAGATAATAGATATGATCACAATATTTTAATATATGTATTCTATTAGAAATGATTAATTAGTTTATAAAGATTCATTTAACTAAAAATTAACATAAAACTGTAGCTTTTTAAACTAAAACTGATTCTCAAAACATACAATCACTCTATAACATTATAAGATTTGATCTTTTTTAAAAACATTCTGTCAATATTAGGACAAACTTGATTTTATTAGTCTATATAAAAACCACTTCTTGCCCAACTATAGCTATTATATATATGTTATACTATTATATCATATTTAAAATAACAGGTTTATCATACATATGAGACTATATTATACTATTTAGACCATTTTATTTTTATTTACATGTTGTGATATGTAAATAAAATGGTTTAAATAGTGTAATATATATATAATTAATTAGTCTAAATAAAAGTCATGCACATCAGAATCAGAGCTATCAGTCATCTTGTTTCTCTGTTAATCTATAAAATAACTTTTAATCATCCAAAATTGAGTAGTTAAAGTTATTCAGCAATTTATCCCAGACTTACACTCATGCAATGTGCTGAAAGTAATTCTAAAGATATTAAAGTTCATTTAATCTCAAGATTAAATAAAACTCATGCAACTGACCCCTAGAATTATACAGCTAATCAATAAATTTTGAAATGTAATTCTCTGAAAGAATTTATGTATTTTAGATACCTACCTACATACAAATATAATAAAGCAATTTTCTAGTTATTTAAAAATATATATATTTTTTATTGTTCATATATCTAATGTTAGTTCTACAGTGAGCTATGTGAAAATTCAATCTATGAAACAATAAATAAAAAATATTATTTTTCCATAAAAAATATTACAACAAAAGAAAAACTCTTCTCTCTTTTGCTTTTACTGTATTATTTAATAAAATAAGCTATAATCAATTAGGCAATAATAAGTGATTTAAAATCTTAATTTTTGAGTGAGTGTAAATTTAGTATTATTTATAATTTAATTTCAGCTTACCAATTGTCTGGCTTTTTGGCATTGGGATCTGGAATCCTAAAAGAAATTCATTATAAATGATGTTTCCTAATTACAGATGAATAGGATTATATATATATATATTAAAAATATGTATAAAAAACCCACTTTTCTCTTTCATCCCAATCTTCAGGTTTTGAATCATTTGGATCATCAATTTCAGCAGGTGGATTAACTGAAGGACTAAAAACAACTTTTTTTTTAGTTTTTTGTATAAAAGTTTTATTTTTATATAAATCAGAAACAATGACATTTGTTATTTGCATATATACCTAACATCTTCTAGTAAACTTCCCTTGTGTATACTTTTTTGATCAATCTGAATTTCAAAACGATTGTCAGGTGTAATAACTGAAATACACAGAGAAAATATATTTGAAATTATCATAAGAAACTTATTCAACTAAATTAAAAGTTGTTGTTATAATATGAATTTATATGATAATGCAATATCTAACAAAAACTGAATTAAAACTGGTTTAGTATACATTTAAATATTATATTACTTATTACACAGTTATGGGTTTTGAAAATTAGTTATTATTACACAGTTATTTTTACACATTAGTTATTATTACACAGTTATTATGGGTTTTGAAAATTCAGATGTGAATCATACATTAAAATCAGCTTATTGTAATCACAGATATTGTTATCAGTCATTTAATATAATCAAAGTTAACAGGTCCTAAAACAATGAGTTTAAGCACATTAAATAAAACTTTAGTTTCTGTAATTAGAGAATTGGTTATAGTTATCATCATATATGTGTAAATAGGCATTTTTAAGCTTGTTTTTGCACTATCAGCCTCAACATTTCAATCATTATCACTGATTAAGAAGAGTGATAATCATTAAGATCTATTATTACTTGCCTGTAATGCAATTTGTTTAAATTGCTAGCATTTCTTAACTGTAAATGAACTATTCTTTAAGAACTTAACAAGCAAAGTATAGTGGATGAATTATATATTAATAAATAAATAATAATAATAATAATAATTATTAAAACAATTAAACATTGTTAACTTTGAAAATTTATTAATGTGTGTTTTTATTGTTAAGCTGTATATATCAATACAAATAAGTGATTTCACCACTCTATTTAAATGCTTTCAGCACTGTGCATATGCAGCCTAAATAAACTAGCATCTAAATCACACAGTTATGCATGACGTAAACACTTCAGCTGGATGTATTTTTAATTATGGAAATCAGATACTGCTAATCAGCAATGAATAATCTTCATAAGATGGTTTGTTATCATTTTCTACAAAATGGCTCATTGGATAAACATAGTAACTGAGAAATTAATAGTAGTAATTTATAATTTTCTTGAAATTTTTGAGTAAAAGAATAGAACAAAAATAAAAACAAAAATAATTATAAATCAATTTTTGTTTTTATTTTTTTGCACAAACAACAGGTATGTTGATTGTGAGAAAAAATTGTGGCTGAGTGCAGTATCATCAACCATCTTCCACCAAATAGCATGCAAATGTAGTAGTGAATATCAGTAGTACAATCTGTGCATGTCATGTGATTCTTGGTTTAGTGAAATGAAATTATTCACGTGGGTATCCAGCTGAAGAGTCAATAAGATCACAAACTTTCACTATTTCCTTATTTATTTACCCCATTTAATGTTATCAGTGTATAGGTGATCTCAAACTGATTAATATGTAGTAAAATCTCTTTATTTTACTTAAATTATTTATTTTATTTAAATTAGTTAAATAGTTTGGACACACACCGAAATGATTTTTAGCATAATCTCTCACTGAATTCTGACTTATTAAATATTTGTAAAATCTCTTTCCTTGTTCTTTATAACCTTATAAATAAAATGATATTTTTGTAATTTTTGTAAATTTGTTTGTTTGTGGGCAGCATCACATCTGTTTGAGACTTTTGCAGACATCTTTGTGTTTGGATTTGTAGTGTCAAATTTCATTTTCTTTTGGAAAATTTATCTTTCTTTTTATTTATATACTTTCCTGCAAACCTGATCCATTGTATTTTATTAAAAAAAAATTTGTAAAAACCTACAAATTTGTTTCAAATTACCATAAAAGTTCATTTTAGCAAACAAATCTGTGTTATCACTGTTTGCAGATCAATCCACCACCAAAAGCACCATATAACACATCTAACTTCACATTCAGTTACTTCCATTTTAGAAATAGTAAATTAATAAATCAATTTAATTATTAAGAACACATGATCTAAATAATGATTTGCAACTGGCTAAAAATCAGCTGTGATATCATTACCATGTAATCAACCTCATTTTGCCTGAATACTGGTAATTTAGTTTCTCTTATCTGACAAAACCTAATGATGAGTGAATATCTGGAAAGTATTTAAAACATATTATTTCTCATCTACTTTCAATATTTCTTTGAAATGTAATTATTTTCTCTTGAAATATATCACTTTAAATTGTTCACTACAAATTGCTCTAAGGATTACCTTACTCATTGTTTGAGAGAAATTTTTTAATCTTTATGAATATTTCTGTAAATATGATGGAGCAATTCTATGCAAAGATATCAAAAGAAAACAGGTGAAATTCATTGACACTGCAACAAAAACAAATATTCAATTTATATAGTCATCAGCCAACAAAAGCATGTATAGTTTTGATACCGATATTTTCATAAAAGCATTGTTGGATACATCTGCTAGCAATCAATAAACTGAATGCAATAGCTTAACACTCCATATTTAAAATGTAAAAATTTCATATAAAGAATTATTGTATTCGGATGAATCTATTAGATTCAACAGAATATAATAATTAAATTTTAAAATAAATATTTCATTTAAAATATAAAATAAAAGCACTTACTCAAAGTAAATAAATGAGGTTTTTTGTCTTTAAATAAATCTTCCAACTTTGGTATAGAAGAAGCTCTTTTCCAATGTTTTTCTTGATATGTGCCATTCTTTGGATTTCTATGTCTAAAAATGAAATGTAACTGAAAAAAATAAAATATGTAAATTTGACTGTAAAGAACTTGAGTTTTCTTTCATTAAAATGAATAAAATGTAAAAACATAAAATAAAGTTTTCAAATGTATTTGTTCTTTTATTGATGGAAATTGAACATTTTTAAATAATTCTGAATTAAGGAAAGAAGAATCCTTCATTTTAAAAGACCTTATAATATAATTAAGATGAGTTAATAATAATAATAATAAGTGCAGAGCCCAAATGGTTAGGAGTTGAAAGTTAAAATTTGGTACAAAGTGTACATTCTCATGACATATCCTAAGTAGAGATTTTTTTAAATTCCCCCATGGAGGAGAAAGAGAGGGTTAAGGATTACCCTGAAGTACTTGGCTTCTACTGTACTATTTTAGATGTGGTTTTTTGCATTTTTGTGGGAAATCAAACATATTTTTAGACCCTTCTAAAAATTCTCTGATCAGCCTCAGAAAAGGGGGGACCTAATTCTTGCACCTGATGAAAATGGGTAAGATCGGTCACATAAGATAACCTTTGTAGTTATATAAATCAAATTCTATAATATAATACATTAGAAGGGTTAGAAGTATAAAATTAGCTAATTTTAATGTTTGTTCTTATTTCTTGCCTGGGCTTACCTAGAAGTTTTATATAAAATAAATCACAATTTTTAAAGGCTTCACTAAAGGAATAAAGGCAGTCAAAATGCTTTCATCCTATACACCAATGCTATTGAAGCAAGTAAATATGCTATAAAAACAATGATAAAAAAAAACCTAACCTATTGAGAAACTGTAACCATAATTTCATCATTCAGGAATCATAATTCTTAAATAAACATTCCATAAACAATAAATTACTATTTTTTGTTGTTGTTTATTCTAGTTCCATTTCAGTTTTAAGTATCTAGGGCCTTTGTTGAGATGGGGGATGGTTGAACTGGAAGTTGAGCAGTGTGTTATGTAACAAGAAAATTAGCTGCAAACTGAAAGGTAAATTGTACAAATCAGTTGTTAGATCTACAATGTTGTATGGGGCTGAGACATGAACAATTACAAGAGCCCAAGAAAGAAAGATGGAGGTGGCAGAGAGAAGAACGTTGAGATGGATGTGTGGAATGTCAAGGAAGGATAGAATAAGGAACAGGTTTATTAGAGGTTTTGTTAAGATGGGTTCCTTGAGCAGGAAGATGCAAGAATGCAGGTTAAGGTGGTTTGGCCATGTAGAGCGAAGTAGTAAAGATTATGTTGGAAAGAAAGCCAGAAAACTGGTAGTGAAAGGAAGGAGGAAAAGAGGAAAACTAAGGCTGCATTGGAAAGATAAGGTGGAAGAAGACTTGAATAGAGGGAATTTAAGAGAAAAGACACCCTTGATAGGATAAAATGTAGGAAACAGATTAGAGAAGGAAACGCTGAACCCATATAAACATGGGAAAAGTCAAAGATGAAGAAGTTTCAAGCGTAAAATATTGCTTTTTTATGGACTCATCATACAGGAACTTAGGAGACAATATGGCTGAATTTAAACTTTATTGATATTAGTTACAAGAAAATGCATTTCAGGTGTCACACCCTCATCAGTTCTTATCATTTAGTACCTGTATTATTCAAGGATATTTTTTGTACTATTTCAATAACAATCATAAATCATACACGGATTAATGGATGAGAAAGATAAAAGATCTTTATTAAAAATGATATTTTTAAAATTTTTTATTACATGTTAAGAAAAATTCAACTGTTATTGAAATAATACAAAAAATCTTTGAAGAATTCAGGTAGTAAGTGGGAAGAAATGATGAGAGGTATGACACCTGAAATGCATTTTCTTGTAACTAATATCAATAAAGTCTAAATTCAGCCAAATTGTCTCCTAAGTTCCTGTATGATAAGTCCATAAAAAAGCAATATTTTACACTTGAAACTGAAACAATAAATTATTATTTACAAAACACTTATCATTCTAGCAATGCTAGACATTTCTAATACCAGTATAAATATAATTACTATATATTTAGACTATAGTATTTTAACATACCTTTTAGGACTTTTTTGTTTAAGTAAATTTGAAATATTTAGCATCTTGGAAGTCTTAAATTACACCTAACGAAATCTTATTATCACTAAATAAATACAATAATACAGGTGAGTCAAAATTGTGAACAATCTTAATTTTTAATTAAACATTATTACCAAGCGAGCGCCTAAATATCGGGCTATAATATGGCTAATTAAATGATTGATATAAAGTAATTTGACACTAGAGGTAGATTAAATAAATAAAATTATTAAATTTATTTAATAATTTATTTATTTAATTATAATTATTAATTTACTTAAGAGATGGCACCTAACATCTACCTCTAGTGTCAAATTACTTTATATCAATCATTTAATTAGCCATATTATAGCCCGATATTTAGGCGCTCGCTTGGTAATAATGTTTAATTAAAAATTAAGATTGTTCACAATTTTGACTCACCTGTATTATTGTATTTATTTAGTGATAATAAGATTTCGTTAGGTGTAATTTAAGACTTCCAAGATGCTAAATATTTCAAATTTACTTAAACAAAAAAGTCCTAAAAGGTATGTTAAAATACTATAGTCTAAATATATAGTAATTATATTTATACTGGTATTAGAAATGTCTAGCATTGCTAGAATGATAAGTGTTTTGTAAATAATAATTTATTGTTTCAGTTTCAAGTGTAAAATATTGCTTTTTTATGGACTTATCATACAGGAACTTAGGAGACAATTTGGCTGAATTTAGACTTTATTGATATTAGTTACAAGAAAATGCATTTCAGGTGTCATACCTCTCATCATTTCTTCCCACTTACTACCTGAATTCTTCAAAGATTTTTTGTATTATTTCAATAACAGTTGAATTTTTCTTAACATGTAATAAAAAATTTTAAAAATATCATTTTTAATAAAGATCTTTTATCTTTCTCATCCATTAATCCGTGTATGATTTATGATTGTTATTGAAATAGTACAAAAAATATCCTTGAATAATACAGGTACTAAATGATAAGAACTGATGAGGGTGTGACACCTGAAATGCATTTTCTTGTAACTAATATCAATAAAGTTTAAATTCAGCCATATTGTCTCCTAAGTTCCTGTATGATGAGTCCATAAAAAAGCAATATTTTACGCTTGAAACTTCTTCATCTTTGACTTTTCCCATGTTTATATGGGTTCAGCGTTTCCTTCTCTAATCTGTTTCCTACATTTTATCCTATCAAGGGTGTCTTTTCTCTTAAATTCCCTCTATTCAAGTCTTCTTCCACCTTATCTTTCCAATGCAGCCTTAGTTTTCCTCTTTTCCTCCTTCCTTTCACTACCAGTTTTCTGGCTTTCTTTCCAACATAATCTTTACTACTTCGCTCTACATGGCCAAACCACCTTAACCTGCATTCTTGCATCTTCCTGCTCAAGGAACCCATCTTAACAAAACCTCTAATAAACCTGTTCCTTATTCTATCCTTCCTTGACATTCCACACATCCATCTCAACGTTCTTCTCTCTGCCACCTCCATCTTTCTTTCTTGGGCTCTTGTAATTGTTCATGTCTCAGCCCCATACAACATTGTAGATCTAACAACTGATTTGTACAATTTACCTTTCAGTTTGCAGCTAATTTTCTTGTTACATAACACACTGCTCAACTTCCAGTTCAACCATCCCCCATCTCAACAAAGGCCCTAGATACTTAAAACTGAAATGGAACTAGAATAAACAACAACAAAAAATAGTAATTTATTGTTTATGGAATGTTTATTTAAGAATTATGATTCCTGAATGATGAAATTATGGTTACAGTTTCTCAATAGGTTAGGTTTTTTTTTATCATTGTTTTTATAGCATATTTACTTGCTTCAATAGCATTGGTGTATAGGATGAAAGCATTTTGACTGCCTTTATTCCTTTAGTGAAGCCTTTAAAAATTGTGATTTATTTTATATAAAACTTCTAGGTAAGCCCAGGCAAGAAATAAGAACAAACATTAANAAATGTCTCCTAATCTGAATCGTAATAAGTATACTTCACGCGTGTTAATCCGCGTGTTATAAGATTGATTAACTGGTGTCGGGACCCTGACAATTTGGGATAAAGACTTCACAGTCTTGAATCCCCTTTATCTAAATATTACCGCCCTCCTATAAAAAGTTTAGAGAGCCGATCACACGATCGTGCGCCAGTAAGTGATATAGGTAATTTACTTATACCCTTGGCTACTCTCACACTTCTGAATGAATTCTTTGCCATACACTTATTTGTTGATGGAGAACCATTATGGAACAACAAAGGCTTACAAACATCTTTTTGGACTACTTGCCAGAAAATCAGAAGTTTTAGTGAAAACTTTCAGTGTCATTTCAAGGATTTACATCTAGCCCTTCTTTGATGAAAGAGCAATTGATATCAAAACATTCATTTCCACAAATTTTTAGTAGAAAATCTACCAATTACATTTCTTTGATCAAATTCATTTAATGCTTCCATTTTTAAAATAGAATGTTACATTTATGAAACTTTTTTCAATAAATGACATCAAGAACACTGTGTTGTGCATATATACAATTATTCAAAATTACTAGAAAATGCTATTGAAATTTGTGCAGATTTTTAAGATACATACCTACATGACATATAAGTAGCTCTTGTTTTAATCTGTTTTTATGAAAATTTAATTAAAATTATAATGAATATACTTTAAAAAATAAAATTAATTGTGATATGAATAACTTAAAAAAATTAATGTAAATGTATTATTATTTAATTACCTTTAAAACCAATCCTAAATCACCATTCAATCCATTTTTTTCAGTTTCTTCAACTTCCCACTTCCCTAAAATAAATTTTATTATATTAGGTTTGAACAAAAAGCTTCCTTCATGACATATAATATACGAAGACCCAATGCTATGCCAGACTCAGGGATGACTTCAGAAAAACATGTTCAGATTACATTCATGCATTACATGTACAGATGCTGTTCATGTTTATGTCTGTGTTTCAGAACTTCCTGACTATGTGATGTGTTTAGTATGGCAACTCTATATGTTGTTGTGAAACCCTAATTTCCTAAGCTTTTGTGTACTTTATGAGAGAATCCAGGAATGGTAAAATTTTATTTTAGTAAAGAAATTATTAAAGTATTAAAATGATGCCAAAATTAACACATTTCTGTCAAATTTGTGGAAAGGGACGTAAAACTTCCTTTGGGAGAGATGTTATCACACATCTCCGGTGAACATTTGTCCATATGAGTCAGAACGAATATCCCATCAGATGCTACAAATCCTAAAACCTAATTGGAGAGGGAATTTGGCATAAAAGAGGGATAAAAATGCAAACTCAGGGCAGTCAACAAAAGAACAGACACTGCCAAATGGAAGTTTGGATACCATAAAGAGAACATAGCTCTGCTCCGGCTCATCATCAATCTCTGAAACCACCTATGTCTCCATCTCATTAGAAATTCAAACCAAATGTTAATCAGAGGTATTATTATAGAATCATTTGTAAACTCTCTCTTTATAGGTGTGCTGTTTAGTTGATACCTTGTTTTGTTTTGTACTTATCATATATCTATTAAATTCTATTTGTTATTTGTTAATCCACCTATCTATTCTTTGATTTGTATGGACAATGTACACCGATCAAATTTACCCACAACTCGCCCTTAAAAAAAAAATTGGAGAAAATAGAAATAGTTATATCTACTACTCATTAAAAATAGATTTTCTTTAAATTTGTCATTCATGTGAATTTTTTCAATTTTTTCCCTAAAACACAAACTTTATTAGTAAAAAGGAATAATCCTGTTACTGGAGGTATAATTAAAGTTTATTTGTAAAATTCCATTTTACAAATAAAAAATTAATTCAATATTGTAAAATATTTTAAAGCTTTTTCACATTATTCATTGTAAATATTAAGATCTGACTATTCTTAAATGTAAGTTTTCAGATATCACTGATTCAAATCAGGCTTCTAAAAGTTTACTTATCTTTTCAATGCTAATGGCCAATAAACTGAGTCAACTAGCACATCATTTAACATTGAAAAAAAATTACTCTGATAATATGTTTTATTAAACTAACCATTTTTAAATCTTAAGGTGTTTCATCATTAATAATTACATTGATTTTGTCATGTTTTCTAATTTAATAAACACTACCAAGAAAAGAAATATTTTAAGTATTAAACAAAATTTTAACATTACCATTATATTTAGCAATATTTTCTTCTATTCCATCTTTTTTTGCTTCTGAAATAATCCACCTGAAACAGAAATGTCAAAAATTATATAATATAAAATAAACATCTAGTAATGCTAATTTTTAAGGCATCAATTTATTATTGATAAAATGCTTTTTGAGATTTATATTGTCAGAAAATAGTCTCAAAAACTTTACACAAACAACAAACTGACTCCATAAGAATTATTAGCATTATGTCTTGATATAAAAATAGAGTCATTTATGAACAAGAACTGATAAACAATTACATAAGAAGAATAATTAACTATTTTATATAATATCAAATAAACAGNGAAGTAAAAAGTTAAATGATACTAAAGAAAAAATAAATTTTTTAATAAAATTTACACAAGAGTTCATCAAACCTCTTTACTCCAATTCTGATTTTGTAACAGTATAAAATAAATCTGACTTGGGAGGAAGCTGAAGCCCTTGCCCATGATCAAAATCAATGGAAGATAATTGTTACCTGGTATGTTACCTAGCATTGGAGGTATTACTACTACTACTACACAATAAAACCATACTTTGTGGCCATCTCAGTTATGTAGCCATCCTCAAAATTTCCCTATAAAACTTTTAATATAAATCAAACTCCATCTTAGTGATCACAATAGGGGTATCCTAAAGTGACACTTATCTCTATTTACATGGCCAATAGAATAGGAAAATTTCTGCATTCCTAAACTCAACATATTTTAAAAGTGCTTTAAATGGAACTAAGCTTTCTTGCTAAGAACCTTCAAACAGCTTATGTTCAAATAAAATAAATCTTTATTTACAGTCAACAAATTAAACTTATCTCCAGAGTTTAGTAAGAAAAAAGACAATTATATATTTGTTCAATAATGTTATACAAAATTTGATTGTATTTTGTAAAAATATAACTATAAATCAGCAATGATCAGTCTATGTCACTCAACATGCAACAAAGAAAAATATCAATGAGCCTAGTGTAAAAACTAGTTTAATTTTAACATTTTGTTTTCTTTTGACAGTTGTACACTTTTGTGTATTTAGTGACTTTTGTTTAATAAAATTTCCATAAGGTTGTGTAGGGTCCAAGTCCTGACAGATTTGGCTAAATATTTGATAGTTTGTAGTTTTAATCAAAGTAAAAACGTCCCCGATAGGCACATGATAAAAAAATACACAGTTTTTGAATTATTTAATGTCCAAGATGCAAAAATAATGTAAACTGTGCACATGTTGTGAAAATCTAAATCTTTCTCATTTCAAAATATAAAAAATATGTTCCATAGAGTCCTTTTCAATTGTTATCAAGTCTTGATGGAGTGGTCTCTTGCAGGAAGGGCACTGATGCATAACAAAAAGGAGCACACTTTATCTATTAGTGTAGTATGAACCCAAACAGTATGATAATCAAATTTGCATGTATTGCATAGTAAATGATTTTGCCACAAGGAAATCTAGATAATGTTCCAAACATCAGTAACATTTGAGAACATCTTATATTTTAGAACAAATTTTGATTAATTTTATGTATTGAAGTGAGCAATTATTTATTGTGACATCATCAAAATGCCAGGCTGCAATTTTTTATTTATTTAATTTAAAACATATGCTCTCCACCTTAAATTATTAATAGTTTCTTGCCCCTGTACATCATACTTTTCCTTTAACAATAGAGTCGTGCCAATCATCTATTAATTGCTTTCAGGGGAAAGTTTGAATTGAAATAATGTGACAAACAACTGAGTTTGCATCAGAAGTTCATATATAGTTAATCGCACCCTCCTGCCTCTAAGGTTTCCATATCTTGTCTCGTCTTTCATCTATCTAATTCCATTTTTGGGATTAAGAAAGACAGACAGACAAATGCACGACAGTGGGAATTTATAGGTCTACCATTTTTCAAATTGCAGCCCAACAAATATGATAATGCAAATCAAACACAATTTTTTAATTTTTATATTATAAATTATACTTAAATTATAAAATTTAACCAATTTTAATATTTTACTTACTTAATCAAATATTAAAAAACATGTAATTATTTAAAATTAATACTGAAGAATCAACAGAAGTGAATTATTAAAAATTTGTGTTTAAATTTTGAATAAGTATAATAGAACTTTTTCCATGTGCTAAGTTATTAAAAAAAAGAAAACCACAAATTTATTAAAATCAAATTTAGATATCAGAAAAGTTATTTTTAACTTATTAAATTTTTTTTTTATTTCTCTACCTTCTGTTCAGTTCCACATTTATCAGGACCAAACATTATAGTATATGGAGTCTTGTCATGAAAATTCTTAAGATTCATGTCAGAAGTTTGAGAAAGAACTTTTATGTATGCACCTCCACAATCTTGTCCATTCTGAAAGTGGACTTCATATCTGAAATTAAAACATTTCATTATATAAATTATAAGAAATTTACATACATTAAAAAAAATCATACTTACTGAAGTACAAATGGTTTGTTGTCAAACAAAAATGGTTTGTCTAGTCTAGTTGATATGGCATGATGATGGGCCTTTGACTAGTTTAAATAATATAATAAATTTAAAAACTTTTTAAAAATTAATATTAATTAATTAATATTTAAACATAATATATCAAAATAGTACATTCATATTTAATACAAATGTTTAAATAAAAGAATTTATAAGAAATATCTAAATGAAATTTGATAAAATATAAATTATTTAAATTTGACACCAACCCCTGCCGAAAATCAATCGGGCTAGTTTAATGCTAATTACTAAATAAATTACGTAACCAATTTGGCACTAGAGATAAGCGTTAGGCGCCAGCGTTTTTCTCCCAGCAGTTCTAAATTATTTAAATTAATTAATTTATTTATAATTATTAATATTAATAAGAGATGGCGCCTAACGCTTACCTCTAGTGCCAAATTAATTACGTAATTTATTTAGTAATTAGCTAAATAAAAAAAAACAAACTTTA